TGAGCTTAAAGGAAGGACAGCTTCAGAAGCCAATTTCCCTTTCAAGAGAAGGATTAAATAATCTTAAAGTAGTTTGATGTGCAGTTTATGTTTGCATTTTTTATCTAATCAGCCAAACAAATCTAATTAATTCAGACAGTTGTCTCTGTGGCTTTGGCGCCTGGTAGGAGCTGTATCATTACAAATGCAAATAGGTTCCTAAAATAATGAGAATGTCATTATCACCCCTTATTCATTTATGTGACCAGAGAGAAAACTGAAATACCATTTATTATGGAAACGACTTGTGTAAACAGTGCAGGGCACATTAACTACTTTGCCTGAGCAGGACATACCTCTAGCTGTGACTTTCTCTAGCATCACTATGTTTCTAATGGGCCATGTAGGTTGGGGGTGTATTGTATTGAAATAGGCACTGGACCAGGCATTTTTCCTGGACTAGGAATGTTATTCCACTTCTACTTGTGTCCAATAGGCAGATTTTCTAACACTGCTGACTTTGTTCCTTAGCAGTTAAATAGACACTAATACTTTCTGTCCCCTCTACCTGAAAGGGATGTTATAAGAATTGGGTGAAACACATAAACACATATAAAATATGATTGCAGTTAGTTAGTCAGATTGTGCATATGTGCTTCATTTGTGATTTCTCATTTGGGTCTTCTTTCAGTGTTCAGAAGCTAATATTCTGCTGCTCTCAATAGAAAGATTAAGGCTGCCTTTTAAAATTTCTTTCATTATGTTTCTAAGCTATACCAGATTTTCTTCTTTAGCTTTTTCTTTCAGGTACTTTGCTGCTGCCCTTTTCTCTGCATATATTTTGACTTTGATTCCTTCAAAGGAAATATCCTCTTTGCTTACAGGCATAATCAAGCCTTCCTTGATCATATGGCCATTTCCAGGCATCCTTAAAACTATGGCCCATGGGCCACATGTAGCCCGCCTAGAACATTTATCTGGCCTGCCAGGTGTTTTTGCCCCCACTGCCTGTCCTGCTTAGCAGCTGACTCATCCCAGGGCCCGCAGTCTGGCCCTCCATCAGTCTGAGGGACAGTGAACTGGCCCATTGTTTAAAAAGTTTGAGGACCCCTAGCCTAGACCATTGAGCCACTCCAAATCACCTCTTTTCTTTCTTAAGGGTCAAATGGCAATCTATACTAATTGCCACCAATTGCCTGGTTCCAGTCACTCACACAGGTGAAATTTGCCTCTGAGACTGTTCTGTGTTGTAGTAGTTTGCCTACAGTTTGCGTTATCTTAAGTGATCTTTCCACAGCATTTCATATCACAGATCACCAGCTCATACCTTTGAACAACTACCAATTTAAAATTTTTGTTTATTAGTGTAAACAATTCTTTTTTAAACACACAACATGTGATTTAGAATTCTAGGTAGAATTAAACATTAATAGTCATTGTACTTTTGTAATATTGCTGAGGAATTGTTATATTTCCATTTATTTCATATTTGTTGTTATATTTCATTTAGAGCCCAGAAGCAGCTACAGAGCAACTAACGTGAACAATTAGGCAGAGAGTCCTAGTTTTATTTTTTTCATGTTAAAATAAGGTATTGAGAGGAAAAGACTTACATAACTTATGACTGTAAAACCAACTAAATTTAATAATAAGGAACATAAATAAGAACTGAGAGATAGTAGAAGGGAGGTCTTAATAAACTATACTTTAGATTCAGAGAAACTATATTGTTTTCCCATTTTTCTACTTTTTAACTCTGAATTCTTGGGTGAGTACATAAACTTTTGAAGCTTCATGTTTGTTCTCAACTAAATGGAAATAACTATTATTAACATACGTTAATGTGAAAATTAAACAGAAAATGCTTATATAGTCTTTAGGACAGCTCAGTAGTAATAGTAATAAAAATATTGATAATAATTAAATTATAATTTTAAAATAATAAAACAAAAATAAATATCCAAGCTCAAACCAGCTCTTGTAAGTAAAGGATGTGTAAACATATCAAAGAAGATATCATAATGGGTACCATTCCTTTAAACAAACTTTTACATATTTCATCTGTTTTTTTTTTAAGAAATATATGCTATCAGAAGTTTTTGATAAATGAAAGAGAACCTTGATGTTTCATATAAATATGCATACTCTTATTCTGGTATTCTCATGATTAAGTGTAGGGTTAATATTTCTTTAAAAAATATTTTGTCATGTATAACATTGGCAAGAACATTTTCTCATAAAGTCAAATTATATTTTGATGTAGCTTATTTATGTTTGCTTCTGGTACAGGTTCAAGGGGCAGATGCTCTGGGTGGCAATATCAGCAAAGGATTAGGTGAAGGCAAATAAGAGGCAAAGAGACCAGTTAGAAGGCTATCTCAGATAATTCCTTAACAGGGAAAGACAGCCATGACACCAGTAATAACCAATGCAATGAAAAGGTAGGGACAGGTTTGAGAAAGATAATGAGGCAGACATGAAACCATTTCTTCACCTACTTATTATTTTATCTAGGGTTGTAATAAGATAAGTATTTCGGTTTGGGTGACAGAGTGAATAGTAGTTCCATTCAACACAGTCAATAGAAGAGAAGGCATACAACTGAGGAAAAGATGAAAGTACATACTTAATCAGGTTATTTTAAAGTTCAACTGATTTATCCCAGCTGAATACTATGAAGTAACTACCTCAATAGGTCTAGAGTGCAAAGAACAGTCTGAGCTAGAAAAGAATTGTATTGAGAAATATTAGATTACATATATTTGTATCTCTGTGTACATATGTGAGCATGTATACATATGTGTATTATATGTCATATATATATGCTATATGTCTGTGCTTTGGTTTGGGACTTAACTTTAATTTGGCAACAATTTGTTAAGATACAAATGATCAACTTGCAATTTATCTTCTTGATTAGACCTTAAATTTCATGAAGTATGAAGTAGACATCAGAACTTCTTAATAATGTTATTACTAGAATATTTACATAGCAAAAGAGAGTGAATAAATGTCTTAGAGGAGCCTGGGAAAGTAACTTGAATTGACCTACAGCACGAGCAAATTCTATCACATATTGTATCTTAAATTATTAAAAACTTACATTCTCCATTGTAGCTTGTAACAATTTCAATTACTTAGTGTTAGACTTATTTAAGGCCACTACTCATTTCCAAATAAAACTACTGTATCAGAAATAGATACTATATTTTCAAAGTCAGAAAAATTTTTTTAGCAAAACTAATTCATAGAATAGGTTAGTAATTTATTGATTTCTTATGATTTTATTATTATAGGTAGGTATTCTGAAAAACAAAACCAAATGTACATAATACATACTCACCCACTCATGTAATAATATTCAGATGAAAAGATTATTTATTTCTGCATATAATTTCAGTAATAATCTCCTTCAATTTGAAATTTTGGATTTCAATTTTTTTTTTATGTTACATGTCATAGTACTTGCCATTTTTTAACCATTTGTCTCTTACTGGACATTTACATTGTCTTCAGTATTTGACATCCATAGTTAAAAATGGGACATAGAATTTATCATGGAATTACAAGGCATATGTATGAGTGTGATGTGGATGAAAATGTGAGAACTCTCTCCAGTTGAAGCTCTAAGTAATGGGTTCTAAATTATAATGGAAAAATAAATCATTATGATAATGAGAGACACTAAGGATTT